ATCTGGGACCTTGCTCTCGGTGAATGATTCAGGAGGAAAACTAGCATGGAAACGGCATAGAAATACCGCAGGTGGTCTCATTCTACCCCTGAAAAAGCCCCGAATAAGTGCGGACGTTATCAACTGCACTTGTTTTGCCGTTCTTCTTCTGCTTGTTATTGCTATTTGAGATAAATAAATGTATACTGACAGTGTTGTCCATCAGATGCTGAGCAGTCGAAGGCGAGAATCCCGTATGCAATTTTAAGCGACGGGAAAAGATCCTTAGGCTGCGTTCATACTTTGCGGCAGCGACCACCAGCGTTGCGAGCGTTCGGCAGTGTCAGAGACTAGTGAAGTATAGATATCTGATGATCTAGCGTGTGCCAGCGTCCACCACCGTCTGCCAACGTGTGCCAACGTCTACCAGCGACCAGAGCATCTCTAAGATGAGTATGGGTGTCGATCTAGCGTCTGCCAGAGTCTACCAGCGACCAGCAGCATCCGAGAATGGAGTGAATGGGGTGATAGAAGGGTAGCAGGCAGCTGGTGCTTTCCTATTGCCCCTACCAGCAGTCTGCCGCTGGTCGCTGGTAGACGCTGGCAGACGCTAGATTGATACCTATACTTCCCTAGCCCTCGAGACGCTGCTGGTCGCTGGTGGACGCTTTGACAGACTCTGGTAGACGCTGGCAGACAATATCTATACTTTCCTAGTCGCTGACGCTGCCGGACGCTCGGAACGCTGGTGGACGCTGGTAGACGCTGCCGCAAAGTATGAACGCAGCTTTACATTGGGCTCGAAGGCCAGTTGTAAGACCCTGAAAGCTAAACAATGGTGCTGTAGACTGATGCCAGCGATTAAAAGGGTCCCTGCACTCTAGGATATTCAAATGTTTGGTAACCTCAGAAGATCGAAAGCTTAGGCCAATATCATCACGCAGAACCTCGAGCTGAGTGTGAAAGGAGAGGGAGCATGGAATTGCATTCCACGAAAGATTGCTATATGCACAGACATTCTCCAGGTTCACGATATGACGAGGATATGCACTTCAGGCCAGTCATTTTGGGCCTCTGGAAAAACGGACTTCGAAACACCCTTTCATATGTGCAAAGGTAAGATTTCCTCTTAAACCCTCTCATTGAAAATGCACTGTTCACAATCGTCCGGTATCGTAAAACGCCCAAACCGCGCCGGAACTGAATAGCAAATAGGCCAAACACACCCCATATAAAGCAAATTTCATGACATTTTATGAACTATGAAGTGCAAAACGGGGCCGTACGTGTGCGTTTTCAATGACTTGGAAACAGTCGGACCTGTGCAAGAGCAAGAACAGGCTGTAATTTCCGGGTACCAATAGGCAGCTAATTTTGCGCAGTGTTGAAAGTTCCGTTTATACTTGGTCGTCACTCGAGCGATTCAGTCGCACAATTGCGACCACGGTGCCAGATTAGCCTCAAGCAGCTTTGTTGACAGTGCGCTTTGCGTAGGGCTACCCAGCAACAGTTTACTCAGTCTTTCAATACTTGCTAAATATAGTAGAAGCTGTGATTTAGCGTTGATGGCACGCCGCGAGGAACTGGAACCGCTCAGAAACTACGGATTCGATGCAGCATTTGCTGAGCAAATTGATTTCTGTGGAATCGGTGTAATTAGGTGCGTTAGTCGTTTTACATTGAAGGCATATTTTAGGAGCTGTTGAGTGGAGTGGCATCACTGTCAACATCGTTCAGCCAGTGGTGCAGAAATGCAGCGATCTCAACGAGTACGCTAAAAGTCCACTCCGCTGGAGGGTTCCGCCCGCTGACGGAATTTCCGCTTCCGGACCTGACAGCCTCCGAGTATATAATTAGAACAAGATGCTAGCACGGTGGAACTAATGTAACGGTGTCGTCTGTGGTCCCCTCTCCTTCCCCTCCCCTGGCTATATTAGGGAGAACGTATTAGGGAGAAGGGAAAGCGCGCCGCGGGTTCTTCTGTAATGGTGAGTCGTACCGCTCAACTACTAGCAAGAACATGACAAATAACACACAGGCAAAGCCTTGCAGAGCCGAAATGCTGTGCTGCCGCGTGTCCAAGCTAAACTATTAGCAGAGAAGCAGTTTCAGGCCTTTGTTCTGTAGATTTTATTACTAGTATCTTTTTTCAGATATCTCGGAATCAAAAATCTACTATGGATCTCAACCACACCGCTAATGGATGCAGTCAGCTATAACTTGGGTCAGTTGAATAGATTATCGGAGCATCTCTGCTGCTTGTGTTCTTCCAGCTATTCGAGCATCTCGTAGAAGCGGTGTGTATACTGTTTGGAAAATC